GTTGTCGCGGCAACAGGGAGACGCGACGGGGCCGTGCCCGGCCCCGCCCCGCCCCGTGCTCTCCGGCCCCGCCCCGCGCCCCGGCCCCGGCCCCGGCCCCGCCCCGCGCCCAGGCCCGGCCCTGAGCTCTGGCTCCGCTGAGATTGGAGAACCGAGTCTCTACCCGGTTGGTGGAGGCCTACTCCCAGCCCCCGCTGCGAAAACTGTAGGTCTGAACTCCAGAAGATGGGTGGGCTGGGACAGCGAATGAAACCCCCGCGTCGTTCACCCAGCCGAAAGAAACAGGGGCAGGGATTCATCCTGCTTGTGGTGGTCTGAAGGGGTCAGGGAGCTACCTGAGTGATCCGTGCTGTGACCTCTTAGGACTCAGGCGGACCAAAGAGGATGCCGACGGCCAGGAGGAAAAAAGATTTAGCGCCTCCCCTGACTTCATCCTGGCCTAGAGCCACTGGGTCTCCAGCCCTCATTTACCCACTAGCCTCAAGCTTCCACAGAACCCCTCCACCACTTCCTTCTGCCTGTGCGCCAGAATTGTGTATCTGGCTCCTGCTCCGTAAGACAAATAACGCGGGCGGTGAGAGAAAATGAACAGTGTTATCCAAACTCCCCAGTCAATATTTTTTCTGCTTTCTGCATGCAAGCTGTTAAAAACATGCTGCTCTCTTGTTTTCATGTTTCTTTTCAGTTTGGGACTGGAATGGTGCCTTCTGTTGTATTTTTTTCCTACCATTTTTTAGGTCTTTAGCGTGCTAAAAGTTACAACAAGCCAAAGTAGGACAAGCTTGAATACTTCCAACTTGGGTGGAGTGGCTACTCCAAGAGTCCTCAAAGGCAGCAGTGGGAGGAGGTGAGCGTATGGAATTCTTTCTTACAAAACAATGGAAAGTTTTTATTTACCCTTTGGGCAGCACAGATTAACTAGAATATGCTGCCTTTTCTGTTTGTTTTGGACTATAAGCAGCTTAGAGTAATAACTACATCTGGTGATCACAAGCTCTGATGGTAATTCTATGTGTCTGATTAATAAAAATGTAAAATTATTAATAAAAGCAATTTAGGAGACTTTTTTTTTTTAAACACGGGGTTCCTGGAAGGAAACACAATAGATAGGGTATTTGATAGTAGTGAAAGTGGGAACCAGTGGACCTGAACAGCATTTCTCAAATTAGGTCTGTGGATGTAGTCTCTGGGGCTTTAATTTTGTTTTCACTTTGATAATATTTTTTAGATTTGCATAGGCATATTCTGTATTATTTGAAGGACCACTTTATAACCTGGTGTTGCCCCACGATTTCAGCACCTACATTTGCATGTGTGTTTCAGTGCTGCTTTGATTGTTCTGGGATAATGAGAAAAGAACAGAAGTAAATTTATAATGAAAATAGTGTTTTCATGAACAAAATGAAAGCCAAACGACATCAAGAGACTGCACTGTCACAGTAGTTCTAACAGAAAAGCAGTTAAAAAAATGAGCTATAGGTCATATGGTGGCACAGTGAACTCAAAAGAAGCTGGGCTTTCACAGGCAATACCATAGTCACAATACAAGTGCTAATTTCATCTCAGCAAAACACATCATTTGTCATATTAAATTACTATAATAATATGAATAGTATTCGTTTTTTGGTTTCATTTTTATTTCATTTGTAAATCTATTTTGGTGTTTTAGTTGTATAAGAACTATAAATCAAAGAACATTAATTTCTACTTTGTATTTGTAAATTTAAGTAAATTGTAATAAAAATAATTTTAAGTTGACTGAGAGTTTTCAAGATTATTTTGTCTTTAGAAACAGATTCAAATGCTACTCAAGTTTGAGAAACTGAAGGGCTAAGAGGTTTTTTGATTTAGTACTTTACCAGTTAGAAGATCAGAGAGGGTTCCTATTGGCATGGAGAACAGAAATCTGTTCCCTTATACTTGTAAAAAGTCTTCTGAAATGATTAAGGAAGCAAGAGCAGAGAGAAGAACATTAAATCAATTCCACACATATCATCATCTAGATATTAGCTCAAGCTTGGACAAGCCTCGATATGCTAAACAAAAATTAGCACAGTGATTGATGCTAAACAGTTTTGTTTAAAACTCAAATATTCTTTGCTTACCCAAGCACAATGAATAGGACACCTATGGAATGACTATGATTAAATATGAAATCACAAGCTGAGAAAATAGGCCCCAGAAAATTGCTGGTTTGAGAGTCATCAATTCTGGAGTTCAGTTCCCACCTCTGTCTCTGACTCATTGTGACCTACTTCTCCCTGTGCCTCAATCCCACCTCCCACTCCCTCACCACCAATAAAATGGAGCTCACCACCTTTGGTTCCGTCTCTAGTTACTATGATAAGATGAGAATGAAACAGGTAGTAAACATGAAGATGCTAATAAATCCTTTACTACAGTGATTCAAACAAACAGATTGCAGCAGAAAGAGGCTATTTCAAAAGCTGGGCCAAATGGAAACTGGAACAAGACAGTCTTTGGGCAGTGTGATCCACTGACTGTCTGAATCACCCAAGATACTTGTTTAAAAATGCAGATCCCTGGCCTCCACCCCAGACCCAGTGAATCAGATTTCCTGAGAATGGTTTGGGACGTTTTACCATGTATCCCTGGTGATTCTAATGTACACTGATGTTCAAAGGTCATTTATTTAAAAGGCTCATCTGCAAAAATAATTTCCATGTCAACAAAAAGGCATCTGCTCAGGTAGAGTCTGAAAAGAGTCTTTGGAGGCCACTTCTATCCAGAAAAAGCAAAAGACAGGTACAACTGCTTATCAATAAGCAATTCTGTCCCTATTGGCTGGGGGTTTTGCCAGAGTAAAATGATCCCTCCTTTGCCGGATAATCAGCTAAGCACTACATTTACTGTGGTGCGGAACTGTTTCCATATTCTCCCTTCCTTCTTCTCCCCTCCCCTCCCCTTCTCTTCTGTCCACGTCCCACACACACCCACAAGAAATTAACGACCAGGGAGCTCCAGAGGCAACAGCTGAGATTAGGTTGTGGATGTAAAGCAACCCTTGGGAAAAAATATAACATTCTTGGCACAAAAGCACTGACTTCTGACACCCACGTACAGCTCACTCATTCAGTTAATCAAGGGAAGACAGGGTTAGACTTGCCCAGTTTCTGTCAGGTGAAGCACAGGCAGATGGGATCAACAGCCATCAACTCTTGTGCTTGTAACCGCTCTCAGTGCCGTAACAGAAAATGGTCAGTCCTGAGCAAACTGAATGACATCATTGTGCTCTCCGGCCTCTTGCCTCACATTTACTAACCTTGCCTCTTTCTCACAATGCATGAGAGTAAATAGTATGTAGGTGATTCTTCTCTCAGGGCAGACTCAGAAGTGTGGTCCCATTGAAAAGGCCATCAAGGAAGTGGTGGGTCATCCAGTTCATGCACAGAAAACCTGAGGCACATGCAGGCATTTCCCCACTATCTTCATTTAGCAAGACAACCCTGGTAAACTGATTCCTGGGTCTGAATCTAATTCATTAAAAAGTAAGGATTATCACCATAGCATTAATGACATTTCAGGTTTCTATTTATACAAAGAATGTCTTCATTCTGTGGGACTCAAATATTTTCTCCTCAACTTCACCTCAATATTTCACTTTCTTTTTCTTCTCTGCTTTGTGACCAAATTTTAATCCCATTTTTATACTGGGAATACTTTACAGAGAGAAAGAGACTTTACCTGGAGTGACACAATAAATCAGAAAAAGCTGTGGAACTCATAATCAGGGATTATCACTACTCTGTGCTTCACCTCCACCTCCATGCCACAGTTTATCACTGTATATAAGAAAGGTATTGGATTTCCAGAACACAACTTTCCTTGAATTCTTGGGAAGAGCAAATTCGAAGAAATGGGACAGTCAGTTCTGATGCAGGGCAGCGCATACAATGGTCAGGAAGACCTAGATTGACACATCAGCTCTACCAATGACAAGCTTTGTGACTTTGAGCAAATAACCTTTCTGAATCTTGGTTTCTGCATCTGTACAGTGGGACCGTAAAGCTTACCTTAGTAGGTGCTAAGATTAAATAATTCATATGTAATGCTTAGATTAGTGCCTGACAAGAGTAAGCCCTCAAATATGAGTCATTAATAGTTATTATTCACTGAGGAAGTAGAAACAGGTAAGAAAACATTCCAATGAATTGAGCTTTGGCAACAAAGAGAACCAGTGTCCAAGGATGAAAGGAGTATGTGATTTAGAGTTAGAAGACCTGACTGCAAACCTTCCAAAAGATTTTCTCATTGGTAAAATATGGGCAAATCTTACCTTCTCTCTTGGGGTTGTTGTGAGAAATAAGATCCACAATGTAAAGTTCTTTGCAAATAGGAAGCACTATGCAAATATTAGAAGTTATGTTATTATTACCCCTTAAGGGCTCACTGAATCTGATGCCCAATCCAAACACCAAACAGAAAACCTCTGGAGACTTATGCTGAAGGTGTGCAGGCCCCTAATCCCCCAAGAACAGAATCAGTCCTTCTAACCACAAGGGTAGATATGAGCTACAACAAACCTGGAGAGCAAACAGACATGGCAACCTTTCTCAAAAGCTGGCCTTTGGGATCTATTGGGTCTTTGGAAAAGTCATGATGCATGCTTGCAACAGATGGCACTAGTTCATTTTTGGAAATACTAGAGTCATTCGCATCTACTGGGTTGTCGGAAAAGTCATGATACATTTTTGCAACGAAAAACAGAAAAAATACGTCATGACTTTTCCAACAACCCAATATGTTATTGCTATGTCATTTCACAGCTGACAGTTCTAGCTTCATTCTAAAAAAAAAAAAAATGAGCTATTTGGTTGAGTTTTGGAGAGTTTACAAGTTGAAGATGGAAGACCAAACTGTGCATTTTTGCCATATTTTACTGTTTAACTTCCATAAAGGGAAGAACGCACGTCAAGCTTGTGAAAAGCTGCAAAAAGTTTA